AATCTGTGTGTAAGATGATTAGCAAATCTCAGGGGTGTCCATGTCTCCTACTGCATGCTAAGACTCAACGCTAGCAGATGCATCTGCAACGACTAGTGTTCTCTGGACCAGGAGCTGGAATGGCCGTTCAGCTAACAATTATTCTGGGTATGTCTGAGAGTTTCTGGTGATTTAAGCTGGACTCTGTAGATTTAGGAGAGGGCTTTCCCCAGCATGTGTGGGCCTCTTCCAATCTGTTGAAGGAGGCTGGGAATTTACTCTCTCTGCCTGGCTGTCTCTGAGCTAGAGTGTCTGTCTGTCTGTCTTAGCCACTTGAGTCATTCTCCAATGGGAGTGCACAGCATTGGCTCTCTTGGGTCTCTGGGAAACCAACTGCAGATCTTGGGACGCCCCAGACTCTGCAGTGACGTAAGCCAGTTTCCTATTGATCACACACATACAGTACTGTAACCCTTAATGATGGAGATAACTTCACCCCCATGAGAATATCACAGGGCAGAGTGAACTTACACAGACCCAGATGGCAATAGGTCTATCCCTTGATGAGTTCTCCATGAAATTGAGAGATACAGGAAACACATGCTGTCTGTAATGGCTGTGGCTTACTCAGGGATAGATCACTAGAACACTTGCCTGGTGTACACGAGGCCCTAAGTTGAACCCCCACTGAAGGAAAAGCCAATAACACAGTCCTTTAGAGTTCTGATTGTGACTTCTTATGCTACTGGTGAACAGTGCACTTCCACTGCCATAAAAATAAAATATGTGCTTGATGTTGCAATTTCAGTAGGTGATAGGAATTTTCAGCTCCATTATAATCTCTGCTTAGACCCATGCTGGCTGGCCCTGAAACTGGCTCACCTCAAACTTATGCCTCAGCCTCTCCACTATAATCAACCATCACCATATGGTCTGCCCCTGACAGAGAGCCAGTATGCAATGTAGACTATATAGACCATATAGATATGTTCTATTGCCCCTTAGAACTCTGATTCATGCTTCTTTCAGCCTGTGCTAACTAGATCTGAATTCAAATCACAGTCCTTGAGCAATAATAGAAGGGAAAGTGTCCAGACGTGGGTGATCAGGTCATCAAGTCCTAACCTGCCCAGGGCAGCATCCTCCAGAACAGAAATACCCTGATTCCCCCTCCTGCAGGTTGGGTGGCAAAGCTGCTGCCTTAACAGGAGCCAGACTCGGGGTGGGGTAGTGGGAGAATCTCTGGGAGCTGAGTGATGCTAGGGACTCCAAAGGTCCTGAAGTTACCTCCCATCCTCCCAACCTCCACCAATCTGTCGGAAGCTGGGGTAGGGGGAGGGCCACAGAAATGTCCTAGCTACCTACAGGCTCTCCTCAGCCCCCAGATGTTCAGAGCCGTCTGAATGCTGCTTCTACTCAGCGCCTCTCTAATAAACAGGTGTTGGGAGAAGAAGAGCAGTAATTAAGTTAATGCAGTGGAGAAAAGAAAGGAAAATGGTTTTTATCAGTCGATGTCACACGATCAAGACTTCTAATAAAGATGGAGTGGGATAGAAAAATACAGAGAATGGTCCCTCCTAGAGCCAAACCAATTAAATCGTATTCATTACACGTTGGATTTTAAATGCCCTCATATGCGTCCCTTACAGGAGGGTTTTAAGAGACGGCACTTGGAAATGCACTCTCTCCTTCTCATGGCCCACTGTCCTCCAGTCATGCTATTTAGAAGCATGGACACCCAAGGGGCAACGTGGAGGACAATTCACCCCAGCTCGACCGCTTGAGCCCCACATGAAATCACGTATTAAGAAATAACTGTGTTTTGATTTTTTTTTTAATTATGTGTGTCATGTATGCTTTCACATTGCGGTGATGGGTGTTTACTTCGATGACTTCTAATGTGTAACCCTTTCTGTTCTATTCAGACACACAAGTGTAAGTGCTTTTCAACTTCTTTGTTCTTAGATAAAAAGAAAATTGATCTTTATCTAGTTTCCATTCTGCCTTTTTAAATCCAGCAAATGCTGCTTCCGGGGGCAGGGTGGTGGAAGTGTGATGTTTCCATGGCTTCTTTCATTTTCTCCCTATGGAGGAAGTTTCTGGAATGTTGCTGCTGTTGGCCCTGTCTTGCTTCTCTCTGTGTCACAAACTTGAAAAGTCTGTGATATAGAAGTTGGAGAAAAGAAACAAATGTGTCTCAAAGTCTGAAGTCGTAGGAAGTAGCATCTATCTGCCGCCATGCCATTCACCAGACTTGCAGAAGTCTCCTCACCTGCAATAGGGTGGAGGTGGACCCTGGAGGCCACTCTCATCTCCATGTTGACAGACACCAGGAGCCTTCACTGACCCTTGCTGCAAGTTGCACCCTTAACCCACAGGAAGCCACCTCTCCCTAGCAAACCAGCCCAGGGCTATATGTCCAAGTGAGCTAAAATCAGTCACAAGATATCCCTGGTCTAGCACCCACACCCCCATGCACAGTCCAGCAGTGGTACCCCACAGATTGCTTTAATGTCCTGAAAACCTCAATGCCCTATAACTATCACCACCATTTAAGTGCTGTCCTCCAACCTGGGGAGGAAGATGTATGTTGATGTTGATATAACCTGAGAAAGCAAGGCGTCTGTGACGACTCCCCAGGAGCCTGGCTACTTTCCCTAATGCACTCACTACTTTGTTCATTTGGTAATGTTTTTCCTGAGAACCAGGGTCTGTTGCCCTCCTTGAGACACAGCTGGACAGACAGACAGAAGCCTCTGCTCTTATGGAACTCATAATATAGTCAAGGAGAGATACAATTACAGAATGCAAATGCTTGAGTATGCCAGATGGGGTGCGAGCTGTGGAGAGAAGTGAATCAAGGAAACGAAGGGAAGTTGAACAAGAAGCAAGAGATGCTGAGATCAGAGCTCAGAGGCCTCCTCTCCTCTAAGGGAAAGGCTGGTCCCCAGGAATGCAGCACTTGTAGCCATGCTGTGGTGTCTGATGGATTCTCATGTCTCCTAGCGAAGGGATGGCATTCCATATTGACTTGGCCCTTCTATGTCACCTTATACAGAGCAGGGATAAGAAGAAAAGGGTCACCTCCCTACTCCAGCATTTGCTCTGTCATTCAGCCTTGCACACAAATTCAGTGTATCCCTATAATTGGGGAGATGGTTCAGCCAGTAAAGGCACTTGTGCCTAAGCCTGAGGACCCGAGTTCAATCCTTGGGAACCACATGGAGGAGAGAACCAACTCCAGCCAGTTGTCCTCTGACTTCCTTCCACATGCATGCTGTGGTGTGTACATGCGCAAACACACACAAATAGATAAATGAATGTAAGAAAAATAATTTCAGTACTTCTGCCCCCGCCAATGCATAAGGAACTCTTTCAGGTACTGGGTTACAGAAATAACAATGATAAAGATGGGACAAATGGTGACCCTCACAAGTCTGAGGTTCTGCTTGGTGGGAAACAATACCCACTGTAAGGAACAATGGAGCAAAATAAGGCTTTTTCACAACAGGTTACATTCATGACAAAAATCAAGCAGGGGGTGTGAAGTATCTTCGATAGGGAGAGTGAGAGGTAGTCTCATATTTGAGCTATGTCCCCGGTGACTGCCTGGACAGAGAACATTTGAGGTGGAGGCAGTGGCTGTGAGAAGGCCCTACAGCAGGGACAGGCATTCTGCACTGCAGGGACAGGGAGGAGACAAAGGGCACATGACGCTGAGGATAGGGTCAAGAATGAAGCAGGTGGGATTGCAGCAAAGCCTTTTGGGAGATCAGTGGGACTCACTGCACAGTCTTAAAACGTCCTGTTATGGTTTGGATGTGAATGTCCCACACAGTATCGGGTGTTTGAACACTTGGTCTCCAGCTGATGGCACTATTCTGGAAGGTTGAAGAAACTTTGGAGCACAGGGCTTAGCTGGCTGACATGGGAGTGGACCTGCTTCTGGCTGGTGCTCTGTTTCCTGCCTGCTGAGGTGGGAGCCAGCTTTCCCATCCGCCACAGACAGAGCTGTCTGCTATTGTGACCTCCCTTCTGGGGGTGGGGGTACCCTTTGAATCAGGAGCCAAATCAAGTCTCTCCTCCTTTATATTTATTCTGCTTTGGTAATGAGAAAAGTAACTAGCATGTGACCTTCAACGACTCCTGAGAGACATACTCCCAGGCTGGTGGGGCTGTGACTATGCTCACCACACCCGGGATACTGGTGAGGAAGTAGTCATCTATATCCAGGGTTCCTTGTGGTGTCAGATTTGGGGGAACCAGGTAAGAAACCAATTGAGGAGAGTGAGCTCCTCATTTTTTGATACACACAAGACTTGTATACACTCACTGTTTCTGCCCGTCCATGAGCAGGGTTATTGATTCTGTGGGAAATAGAACACAATTATTTTTGAAAATAGATGGCATATTTGTCTATCTTCTGCAGCAGCTCATACTCCAATAGATAAAGTGTCAGGAGAAAAATCAAAGAAAATGGAGGTGTCTATGACTCAGATAGATTTTTTTGTATATATTGGCAATACACAAGCAACTAGCAGAAAAGCTAAAAAGAACAGTTGCCGAGGAACAAGGCAGAGATCTAAAAGGATGGCCTCACTGCAAGAAACAAGTGATCTAGGCAAGAGGGATGGCAGAGTGGCCCCGCAGCCATTTCTCTCTGTTTGCCTGAGAACATCTCTAGGTTTCTCTTGAGGCAATGCCATGGTGAACTACCTAACCCCCACGTAAGTAGGATGACTCTACCTGTTCTGCCCCAAGGCTGGGCCAGAGGCCTGTCTGTCTGGTCATTTGGATACTCTCTTTAGAGTGGTTGGTCTGTTTTTATTTTGCCACTGGCCTGAAAGCAATGGAGCCATCTTAACATGAACTGAATCCACAAGCCAGAATAAAGCTCTCTTTCTTTAAACAGCTTGAAAACTGCAATGAAGTGGTTCACAGTGTTGGACTCACACAGCTGTGGACTTGGGGCTTCATCTCTAATTGGTACCCCCTGACACTCGGACCTAGCTCTCTCTCACCTGTGTGTATCCTCAGGTGGACCTTAAGGTGATGGGAAGTCCGGAAAGTCTTCCCACAGTATGGGCAGTCCTTCATGGCCGAGCCCAGGTTCCTGTCTCGAAGCAGCGCCTGCTGCTGGACGCCCCCGGCGGCTCTCCCGGCCTCCTCGCCGATGTCTGCAGCGGATGAGAAACATTCTCACATCACTTCAGCACATGTCAGAAGTTGTTCGCACCAAAACTGCTAACACCACACAAAGTTAAACATGTCAATACTACACCTGTCTATTTCATTCTTTGAATCTGACAGAATGCTGACAATTCATGTATTTTCTTGTTATTCTCTTAAATTATTTCATCTTTCCTATCATCATTTTAAGCAGCATATGGTACCTTTATATTGAACTGAATTAAACAAGAGAAGAAACAGCTGTGTCAGCAGCTGGTTTGATTTCTTCTTTTTGCTTAGTTCCTATTAAATATTTTTTTTCTAAAAGTTTAAAAATGTGGGCACTGGTGGAATTCGATTAATTTGTAATATAGGCTAGCTGGAAAGTTCACTCTAGGATCAAAATCACATTTGCAGCTTAGCCAGTCACAAAGGGGGCCAGGAAGCATCCCAGCTGACTCCCGAGACGAGCAGACACCCAGCTATTTCGGGACAGGAAAGAAAATTATCCCAAACCGATTGCTTCTTCCTTGTAGAGTTGTACCCATCCCTGACTGGTGGAACCGCGTGAAGGGAAGAAGAAAAAGGATTGAAATGCAGTTCCACAATTAGCCCATGATAAACACACAGTGACACATTCAAAGTCATGTGCGGAAGCTCAGCTTCCCAACTCCCATAAACTCTGAGCACTGCATTTAAATCTCCATGCCGTGACTTGAGAAGTCCCTCCGTAAAGTATCAATACAAATTTTCCATCTTGCTGTTATTTGTTATGTAGCCCAAACCATTAGAAAATGGAATAAAATTTACATACGGCTGCCTTTTGCACAGAAATGATAGGACATAATAGTAAATAAAACTGAAAATATCTAGTGTTTCGGGGTGTGTTATTGCAGTACCCGGGGCCTGACATCTACAGAGTGGGGCAGGCCTTGAGCATACATGCCTTTGAGGAGGGGAGGCAAGAGAACCTTCTCTAGACTCAATGCTCCCCAAGTCTCTGGCCTCCCTCAGGCCTCCTCACAGAGCAGAGCTGAAGCCCAGCCTCCAATCCCAAGTCCCTGAGGCTGGAAGGGTCCCGGCCATGGCTTCTAACCCACCCTCCAGGCCTTGTGGTAAATCCCACCATGAGAACAAGGGAATCTTCTGAGATAATGAGCAGATCTGTAAGTTCTGCTGAGCTGAGAATAAATAAGATTTGTACCTTCCAAGCAATGGAAAATGCAAATTGCTTTTATTCTGCAACATCCATTGCTGGTGTTCTCTGCTAATGGCCGAAAGGGACAGACTTATAGACCATGAACGAGATGAAGGCAAACACACTTAATTCTTATTTGGATGTTGGCTCCAGGCAACTGTGCAAGCGCCCTGGCTTGGAACATCCTTTCTGCATTTGGACCATATGTGAGCAGATCACCACCCCAGAAAAGTACATCGAGGGCCTCCTTCTAATCCGACTCTCCCCAACTCTCCCTGTCACTGTTGGAAGACCCATTTGGAGTGTACAATTACTCAGAGGGTTTTTAACTCATAATTTTTACAAATGGGAGGATTAGGCTTATCCACATCCAGAACTCTCACCCAAAGCCTGTCACCTCACTGAGCACCAGATTTATAGGCATTCCAACAAACATGAGAAGCACCCAAAGATGACTTATGGGTAAGGATGAAAAGCTCAGATAGTGTGGCAAAGCTGGGTCACACAGGCCCCACACAATGTCTCCCACACAATGAACTGCAGGCTGAGCCTCCCCAGGGTTTTCCTTTTGCTGTGGTGAGAAGCAGCCCAGGCTCTACCACGCTAGGTAACCACACCTCTAGCTCTTAATTTCTTTTTTGTTTTGTTTCAGACAAGACAATTATTATTTTTTTAATAATACGTGTGTGTGTGTGTGTGTGTGTGTGTGTGTGTGTGTGTGTGTGTGTGTGTGTGCCTGTATAGGGCCTCTGCACATGAAGATCAGAAGAGGTCAAGTGATGCCCTGGATTTGGAGTTACGGGCTGTGGGCAGCCTGACATGTGTGCTGGGAACCAAACTCAGGTCTTCTGCAAGAACAGCGTGTGCTTTTAACTACTGAGCCATCTCTCCAAATCTATATTTTATTTTCTGCCTTCTTTCCTTTCCTCCCTCCCTCCCTCCTCCCTCCCTCCCTCCCTCCTCCCTCCCTCCTCCCTTCCTTCCTCCCTTCCTCCCTCCCTCCCTTCCTTCCTTCCTTCCTTCCTCCCTCCCTTCCTTCCTCCCTTCCTCCCTCCCTCCCTTCCTTCCTTCCTTCCTTCCTTCCTTCCTCCCTTTCTCTCTTTCTTTCTCCTTTTGAGACAGAATCTCACCATGTAGCTTAGTCTAGCATTGAACTCACAATACTTCTGAGTATTGGGATGACAGGCCTGAACCACTTCATGCAGTCCACCTGGATTTGAACAGCTCAAATGCCATCTCCCTGTGCTCATCCCTGTACCCCACCTTCCCCAGTCCACAACATCTGCCCATCTCAAATCATCCAGACTTACTTTTCCTTGGGTCAGTTTAAGAAATGATAAGCCAGATTAAAACTTTGGAGACAAGGCAAGATGCCCGGAGTGCCCTGACTTAAGTTTGGAGGCCTTTTAAAATCATAAACAGGACTTGATGCCAGGCTAGAGTCAGGCAGGTGCAGACCTCTGAAGGCAAATCCCTTCAAGTTCTCTTTCCCACGATCCACCTCAGCAGCCTTTTCCAGCAAGGCTCCAGTGTGCAAGAACAACATGGCAGTTGAATAGAAGCTGTGTTCATAGTGAGGAAGGGCCCATCTCTACTGCAGCTTCTGGTGAGGACTTGCTCAGACTATACTAGGTAAATATGGGGAGAGGCGACACCCCACTCTGGAAGGCTTTACAGAAGTTGTGATGACCTATGCCTGGCTATATGTCACTCTAAGTGATGGCCCGTATCTGTTTCCCTTTTATCTTTCTATCGTGGATATGTGTGGTCCAATAAAAGGAATAAATTTGTAAGATAAACAGCTTTCTTTGCAGATTTAAGAGTTTAATTTTCACTTTACGCAGAAACAGTTTTCTCCAGGAGGGCCAGCAGGCCTATGGCAGTTTACTCTTAAACTAATCCTTCTGGAAAAACAAACTCTGGGCCACAATGAAGGGGAATGGTGGGTGGTCCCAGGAAGTGTCCACAGAGGCGGGAAGCCAAGCACAAGGAAGTCTGGGTATGGTTCTGCAGTCTCTGCCCAATGCATACACATGGGGCTTTGTGGATGAATCCAGTCCAAACCAGTCCTGGGGTGGGAGCTAGTGAGCACGGACACATGAAGCTGCATTCAACCCCAAGAACCAAGAGTTTTGGAAGACATGTGGCTCCTGGTGCCTACTTTGCTCAGAGTACAGAATGCTCACTGTGTCCCTCTGCCACCCTGCTGGGCCACATCTAGCCACTGATCCTGCTATACCCCACTGTATTACATGAAGGGCAGCCAAGGTGTGGCTGCAGACCCTGAAAGCTGTCACTCCAAAGGCATGATAAAATTGCTTCCATGATCGTTTGTCAAATGATTAGTGAGCTGTCAAATGGTTCAAGATTTTAAAGAGACCTTTTTAAATTACATTTGTGTATTTATTTTGTAGTGTTTGTGTGCCCACAAATGCACATGCCTGTGACAGTAAGAGTGCAACATGCATGAATTAGTCTCTCCTTTCCACGTTGTGGGCCCTCAGTATAAAAAATAAGGCTGCCGGGCTCTGCAACAGGTGCCTTGATCCACTAAGCCATCTCAATGGTCCTCAATCTTTATTTCCCTCTCCTTAAACATGCACAATTTCTTTTCCCTCCTATAAAACACTTTCTCCAAGTGGTTAAGAGAACAGTGTTGAATTTGCCTTCTGGCCCTCGGTGATCCTCTGACAAGGACAGACAGCCCTGCCTGCCCCCTCACATAACAGCACACCCTGTCCAGGGTGTATTCTGATGACATGTGACCAAGAAACTTGCCCTGTGCACTCTGTATCATTTCTCCATGCTCCTGAATAACACAGGGCCATCTTTTCCAAAGCAATGCCTTACATAGATGCTGCAAATAACATTCCTGAGAAGCACGAGTCATGCTTGCTTCTGCCTCAGAATTTCAGAAACAAGTCTGAAAGCCTCTTCTGTAAGCTGGAAGTCACTTACTGGTTAACACAAGGAGAGAGAACCATGTTATTTCAAGCAGTGTTTCAGTGATATGTTATTTGTGGAAAGCCATCAAGTGACAGACCTTCCTAATTTCATCTTCTCAGGGTCAGAAACCATGTCTCCTACTTTCCATTTGCTTGTTCAAAGCCTCTGACGATTGGGTGAAGCCAGCCACCCAGGAAACATTAAGCTGCAAGGAAGCTGCTCCTGTACCTGGAGACCACAGACTATCTTGCCATCCTTGTCAACAGAACCATACTACACAGTACTGAAGATCCAAGGCCAATGAATACTTGGGAAGTCAAGTCCTCCAACTTTAAATATAGGCAAGTCAAATACAAGAAGGGCTGTCTGAAATCAGCCCTAGGTCTGGCTATCTGGTTGTACAACAGACATGATTTTTCATTCACAGGCACCTTGTGCTTGATATGCTAAACTTCATTCATAAATAATAGGTTTAGAATTTAAATTTTTGACTTATAAGATGATTTTGTGGTTAAGGGTGGATTTTCCCATAGGTTGTCCTAAAACACTAAGCTCCCTTGATAAATTTGTCCAAGCAGCTCCTAGGAGATGAGTTGAGGGTGGAGTCTTTTCATTCTGTATGCTCAATGCCTGGCTGTCCCTAGGCAAGTCCTTCATCCCCTCTGGCCACCGTTCTTCCTCTGGGGGGTCGAGGGAGTGAAGAGGGCTGGACCACCAGGTCTTTCAAATCTGACTTCCTGTGCTGCTGTGATGCTGGAGGAGCCCCAAGTCCATCCCAGGCTGTCTCTGCCCACTGCCTCAATTCACCCACCCTGGCCTCACCCTAGAACAAAATAAGATACTAGGGGGTATGTCTCAAAGATA